GTTCTGAACCTTCCTCGGGTTCTCCTCCCAAGTCTTATTCTCATTCGCCTTTGTAGAGTAGATTGATGGAAAAATATTGACGTCACCCTTCTGAAGCCATTTAACCAAGGATCTCTGCTGCCAAAAACTCTCCTCCTGTTCCTATAACTTATCAACCCTTTTTTACAACTCCTTGCTTTGTTCAATATTTTCTCCCCACCTCAGTTGCAATTCGTCCAGTAGGGCAAATAGCTCTTCGATTTGTTGGTCTCTCATTTTAAACTTCTTCCTGCTCCACTGGATTAATTTTGATCAGCAAACATTGATCCTTTTGTGCCATTTATCTATCATATTCCCCTTGCAAGGTCTCTGCCAACAGGATCTAGCCAACTCCCTACAATCTTCCTCCTTGGCCAAAAAAACCTCAAACCGAAATTGCTTTCTTCCTCTCTTAGTGCCTGGCTTATATTGCATGACGATCGGACAGTGATCTGAACCCATCACCGTATCATGGGTGGCAATAGTATTTAGCCACATCTCTTGCCATTGATTATTGAGAAGACCCCTGTCAATACGTTCCTCAATAAGAACTCCATATCGGGTACCTCTCCAAGTGAAGGCATGCCTATTCAAATCCAGGTCCATCAGCCCCGTGCAGTTCATAAAGTTCACCAAATATCTTGGACGATTATAAAGCATCTAAGTCCACATAGCCAGGGGATAAAAGAAGGGGTAAAGTTAAAGTTCATCCACCCCCAGAATTCCTCCTTCTCCGCTCGATACGAAGTCTTATGGACCCCACTTTTGCTCACCCACTTCTCTAACCTGTGCATCTATAATATTTTTTAAGGAATAAATGACATCAACTTCCAGTGAATCGTCCCACCATAAGCTTAACCCACCAGGTTTTCCGATTGGAGCAACATTAAAACCACCCAAAACCCTCATACAACGTCTCACTCCATCAATTCTATGATCCCTTATCTTAGTTTCAAATAGAAAGATTATAAAGGGCTTATACTTCCTTATCAGCCCATATAGGGCCCGAACTACCATGTCCGACCCAAGACCATGGCAGTTCTAAAAGAAGTGAGTTATGGTGAACTTACGGCTGTATAAGGCCAGTCGTCACCACCTCAGGAAGATTTTCCCGCTCTTCTCGCCATAAGTGCTTTCCTTTCCGTCTTTGAGACCTCATCCATATAGTTCCACATATCCTGATATTCAATTGAGACTTCCTGGAGTTCCTCTTCTACATATATAGCTTTCTCCATCATCATGCATCTTTCCTTGATACTCATTCTCTGAAGCCTCTCAGTAGCTTTTCCTTTTCTAACCTTGCTTCTCTCACCACTCTTAACCTTCTTTTGTGGGGATTGGAACACCTCCTGGTCTTGGTATCAGGTCCCCGTTTCGATTGGCTCATCATGGCCTCCATATGGTTGGATTGCTCTATCTCCCTTTCCTGTGTCTCAGCCCAAGAAGCCCGGAAGACTTCCAAATTTTAATGTTGCTCCCTACCTGCACCAATCCTCATGCTTAATTGTGGGAGCATTTGAACTATTGTCAGGCCTAGATCCTTCCTTTGTGTTTGAGTATCAACCTCTTATGGCAATTCCTGAATCATAATTGATGGGTTAATCATCTGCCTTGACTGTACTCCAAGGATGTGTGATTGAATATTGCTCGATGACCTGTATCCCATAAACATGTGGTGAGTTATTTTTGGAGTGCCTCCAGTCATGATCTATTGTGCAAGATTGCTCCTCACCCTAGCCTTTCTATATTCTTGCCCGTACCTTTTCTTCCTTCATTTTCTGGTATCATGAACCTCCTCTGTTTACATTGGGTCTAATGGGTTGGGGTCATTTTCCCCATTACACCATGTTCTATTATTTCCACATTTCGATGCGGTGTGGGTGTGGCCCCATACCTCATAACCCCAGCAAGCATTCTTTCCCCGACACCAAATAATATGGCTTTAGCCAGATCCACCACTTATCTTATTGGCCTCGTTTTTGTCCACTCCCTGTATCTAGCAGCCCATCCCTTTGTCGATTTGAAAGAGCATTCATTATTTGTATGCCCTAATATCCCACAACGGTAACAGAAATCTTGCAACCTCTCATATCTGAACTCAACCCAAGTATCCTTATTGTCCTCCCTTGGTAGCCAACACCTCGTGGTCAAGGGTTTAGAAGTGTTCGCCATGACCCTTGGACGAAGGAAACCTCTCACCTTGGAAAGATCTTCAAACTCCATAAACTCCCTAATTTCATTTGCGAGACGTCTGACATTGGCTTTTGAGGTCAGATGTAGAGGCATTCCCCTAATCTAGACCCAAAATGAGACCATCTCCATTTTTACTTCTTCTAGGGCAATCTCTTGGGCCACCTTTTGACCAAGAAATTTTGTTTCATCACTGCCTAAGGAACCTGATTTAGAACTTTTGTGGTCATACTCTCATCTTGGACAGTTATGATGAAGGTGTTGACCCGAACCCATTTGACTTCAATCTTGCCCAACTTTTTCCAAGAGGACCGAAGGATATTCCTGAACCACCCCCCCCCCACCCCCAATTTGTTTAAAGTTCTGTTAAGCTACTCCCACCAATTTAATCCCATGTTTCATTGTCGACAAATCCATAGACTTTTCCAGGTGGACCACCAATTGTTCTACCTCTGGTTGCGCCATTTATCTCTTGGCGTAACTCAATGCACAGATTGAATTCACATATGTATACGACAGGTAAATTGTTGAAGATCTGCCCAGGTTTGGGTTTAGGAATTTTGGTCTTCTTTTCCCCCTAAATGTACTTTGTTGTTCTTGTAATAAGTTCACAATAACCACAAAAAGAATAATGGGTTGAAGATACCTCTATTTTGTTTGACTTGAAACCCTCCATCTTTTAATTTCCGACTCGTTAATAGTTGCAACAGTCATCTTCTTATTAATTGTCCTAGGTTGTTGATGGTAATAACTTTCTTCCTTTTTTCCGAAGCTACTAGATCTTCTGGATATCTTAAGTGCCATCATCCCGATGCCAATGTTAGGTGATGGAGTAAATTCCCCAAACCCCCGACTGCCTAATCCCACCATCCTTGTCGGTTGGGATTAGCTAAGGGAATTTATGGCACAAAACAGAGAATAAGGATTTGTGGTGGGTTTCAACAAATTGGGATTTAAGATTTGAGGTTTATTGCGAATCGCTTGATTGAACCCAGATGGTTGGGGATAGCTGAGAAGGTATCAATACGGTTGAGGGACTCACTCACTTCTCTCATAGTGGAAAGAAAGACGCTCACGACGGAGAGCTCTCACGGAGGAGAGAAAGAAAACATTCCTTCCCCCATACCTTACGTGTGTAGTAATAAAGATGATTCATCTACTTCAATTTAGTTATTTATTAATAAATATGATCACTTACTACAGTTTAAAGGTATTCCTCTTCATTTGTAAGTGAGAGATCATAGGTTTAATTCTCGCCAGAGACGAATTTGAACCACATTATTGCTAGCCCATTGTGAGGCTAAACCGGCCCTCTCCTCCTTAGTATAAATAATATCATTTGTTCAAAAAAATAATAATCACTTCAATAATTATTTTCTTTCCTATTAGGATCTTCTCTTAAAAGGATAAGACTGGAATCGCAGATTGTTTTTTTAATCTCGTGGTACTTAACTTTGCAGTGTTACAAGAGACTCTTGAGTTTAAATCTCCCCTTTGAATTAAGAAAAGATTGGAAAAAGAACAAAACTTAACCAAGCCCAGGTGGTAGAAATGCCAAATTTAGCAACTGCACACATTGCTAAGAGTAACACTAGAGAGACCAAATTTTTAAACCAAATGATGTATCACCAATAAAAAAAACAAACCCGTTAATCGACACTGTTAATAATCTAACCATCTACAATCACATCATTTGGTTTGCAAATTTGATCTCTGTAATATTACGCAAGGTTCTAAAAGACGCTAGACACTAGTCGGGCGACGAGAAGGGGCCTAGCGCCTAGGCGGCTAGAAGGTGGCCTAGGCGGATTTAAGTTAATTTAATATAAAATTTAAATTTATTATATAAATAATATGTTTTTTTAAAAACAATATATATGTAATGTTAGGGTTTTTAATATAAATGGTCTTAAAAGGAAAAGGAATAATAAAACAATTCAAAAATATTTAAAAAGTAAAAAATGATGATTGATTTGGGTGGGAAAATAAACAAAAGAATATTGACCCAAAAAAATAAACAGAAATAAAAGAACATAAAATAGTGAAACACGGAACCAAACAGTGTGGTGGGACCATAAAGACCACATTTGTCCATTTAAATTGAAAAAAAAAAAAAGATGGACCCCACCAGTCATCTTCTTCCTCTCGACTGAAACTTGACTTTTCCAAATTCAAAATTTTTCCTGATTTCGACGTCTTCAAATACGACCAACTAGACTCTGCCCAGCCCCGTCCAGCCCCAAGCAAACCTGCATAGCTCCGCCTAGACCTGCCTAACCCCTCCTAATCCCACCCAACGTCCGTCTAATACCTTCTTCGATTTTGCAACTGATTACAAGTTAATCGAGGCGGTTGATCTCTGCCCAATGTATAGGCGCGGCTTAGGCCGATTTTTAAAACACTAATATTACCCCACTACTAAAAGGCCACATACTAGGACTTGACAAGTTTATGCTAGTAATCATTTCAATTTTCATTTTCAAAAAAAAAAAAAAAAAAATTGAAAACCAAAACGAAGCCAAACTTTTAGAAACTCAAAAAAATAATTCACTTTTCATAAACCGAATACAATTACCAAACAAGTTTTCCGCTTTAAAAAAAAAAATGAAACCTAAAAACGAAATGATTATCAAACAGTCATCAAGTAAACTCCCTAAATTTGAAATCTTACAACTCCAAATGAAGCCCAATATTTTCCAAATCAAGGAATGCAAGATTTCCCAAGAAACCATTGTAAAGAACATGTTGGAACTAGAATTCTACACCGATATTCAGGACTCACAAATGTACAATTAGACAGTCAATAGTCATGTATTTGATGATTAGAAGACCAAAGAAACAAATTACATTGTAAAAAGGTAAAAGACATAAGACTGCATCGTTGTAATTTTAAGCCAAACCATCATGTTTCATGTATATGAGAAAAGAACATTTTCAATGCGTCTCGCCAAACTATTTATCGGAAAATGCATCTGGTGTGTCTATCAAACTACAAATGGAAATAATGAAAGTACATATCCATCACTTCTCTCATGCTATATTTTGGAAAACAGAGGAAGCTATTTAAAGTTGTATATGGTATGGGAGAAAGGTATACTAACGTCGTTAGCAGTTCAAACCCCAGTCATAAGGCTGGTACGTCACCTTCAACTGAGAGTCGGCAAGAAACTCCAGTAAAGCTTCCGAGACAGCTGGATCAAGGTAGTTTGATGAGTGCTTCAGTACCTCTACCTCATTCTTGCCAAAATCTATGCTAAACCTGACCGTTAACGAGTATTATTAGACGAGAGAGGTTAATTATTCGAAAGTTTCAGAACCCCAAATTAAAGACAGTGTGCGTGTTCCTATATTTGTTATATATAAGATAAATAAGAAAACCACAGAATGTGCTCAGAAAAACCCCACTCCTAAATGAAGAAATAAAAAATTAGAACACTTGCTTAGAACAGCTTACCATTTAAGAATCTTACTAGCTGAAGCAACCTTCGAATCAAAATTTATAATAAGACCTCCATTTCTTAAGAAATCACGGGCTGCTTCCATCAACTCTTTATCAATGTCACTAGGAGAATAACATCGAAGAGCAGGGCCAGATCGAGTACCGCAAACCAGTGCAAAATGAATAAGAGGCTCTGGGTAAGGAAGAGCCACCTGATACGGAAAGGTATAAAAATGAGGTAGCATAAATTGACGACAGAGAGACTCAACTCTTAAGAGATAAGAGTTGCCTAGTAGCAGATTGCAATTCTGCATTTTAATGACTTGAAAAGAATGTGTATCATCAACCTCCTATTCTCAAACTAGAAAACCAGACAGGCAAGTTTTATAATGTTATGGCCAATAGAAATTTGAAATGCTACACACGGGAATGCCAAATTTCTTTGATCATGTAAACTACATGAATACCAATGTCTTAAAAGCCTCGCCTCAGGGTGCGCCTAGGCGTCCTCTGAGGTTGGGCGTGAGGGTTGCCGCCTCTGTTTTGAGGGAGTGGGCGGAAGGCGTCGCCGGAGCCGCCTAGGCAGCGGAGACGCGCCTCAGGGCGTCCAGGCGACTCTGTTTGGCTTTATTTTTCTTTTTTTGGTACTCCCAAACCCAAATTTTGGGAAGGGTTTTAAATGCCTCATACCTCTTCCTTGCACTATCGTCTCTCTGTCTTTTTATCTTTTTATATAATGGATGTGTGCTATCTGCGTGCATTGTTATATGTGTGCTCAATGCTCACTGTGCTTTTCATTCTCTATTTAATATATATATATATATATAATATAATAAAATATATGTATATATATGTGTGTATATCAATGTTTTAAAAGGCTCGCCTTAAGGCGTGCCTAGGCGCCCTCTGAGGCTGGGCTTGAGGGTTGCCGCCTCTGTTTTGAGGGAGTGAGAGTAAGGCTTCGCCAGAGTTGCCTAGGCGGTGGAAGGCGCGCCTCAGGGCTTTCTTTTTTTTTTTCTAAACTCCCAAACCCAAATTTTGGGTAGGGTTTTAATTGTCTCATACCTCTTCCTTGCACTATCGTCTCTCTGCCTTTTTTTCTTATTTTTATTTTTTATATAATGGATGTGTGTGTTGTCTGCGTGCATTGTTATATGTGTGCTCATTGTGCTTTTCATCCTCTATTTTATATATATATATATATATGTCTATATATGTGTGTGTGTGTATATTTATAATATATGTGTGTGCTCAAGGTGATTATTGGTTAATAATCTTTTTTTTTTAATATAATATATGTGTACGCTCAGTGTATATATTAAAAAATTTAGGTCCCGTGAGGCGGCCTAGGCCAGGCTATCCCTCAGACGCCTTGCCCACGCCTCACGCTTTTAATACATTGGTGTATATATATTTATAATATATGTGTGTGCTCAGGGTGATTATTGATTAATAATCTTCTTTTTTTTAATATAATATGTGTACACTCAGTGTATATATTAAAAAAATTTGGTCCCGTGAGGCTTTGCCTCACTCCTAGGCCAGGCTATCCCTCGGATGCCTCGCCCACACCTCACGCTTTTAATACACTGATGAATACCTACATGACTGATGTGGCCAAGTAAAAGTTTATGCCATGTAAATACTGAAGAATATTATTATCATCTTACCAATGAACGCTTATCTTTTGCACCAAATGGCTTCATGAGGTTGTATGGTGGTCGCTGGTTTCCCCGTAAAATGCCATTTTGAATAGCTGAAAGTGAGTATGTGGACCCACCAACAACATATTTGAAGTCCCCAAACAACCTCTTTCGTTCTATTGCTCCAGTTGGATGACCCCATACCAATATTGCATGGATGGCCATCATATTGTAGAGATTTATAAAGAAAGCAAGTCTCTCCTCCCTCTTCATATCCTTCACTTCCACTCTTTGAAGCTCTTCTACTATTCTCAGATATCTACAAAGATATTACCGTTAACAATGTGTTGGATATAAAACCAAAAACAGTTTATTGAGATACCAAAATACTTTTTCCAGCTAAAAATTATTTGACAAAAACAAAAGAGAAAAGAAAAGTGAAACCTTGCAAATTCCTCACTTCCATGGATACTTCTGTAATCAACATGTTTTCCATCCTCTGACACATAGGCCTCAAGAATTGCAAAAGATAAAAACCTCAACCTTGATGCAATTTCTAGGATGGGTTTTGGCTTTACATCAATTATACCCCTCGGAATGTTCTGACATTGAGAAACAATGGGATCATCATCCAAGAACCGATATAGGTGGTTCCCATCCTCAAATAGATTTTCCCTAGAGCAACATAAAAGCATTGTTGAGAACAAACAGAAGAAAATATGTCAACAATGGAATAATATATGTGAAACAAGTTGGTCTGACATGAAAATCAAAAATTGAAATTGTCCACTAATACTTCACTCGTTTAATTGTTTAATAAATAAGTCATCCGACTATGGAAAAAAATAAAATATGTCATCCAACCACTAACTGTAGCCTTTAACAGGACAATGAATCATGGACAGCTGAGATCTCATTTTTCTAAAATCTCCTCTTTTATATCAAATGTAATTTTGCTTGAGTACTTTCTTTTGAACTACTTTCCACTCAGAGTTTCCTAGCAATAAAACCAAGTGAAAGAGAATATAAAGACACTTCAAGGAAAACTTCAAGTGACTCACTCAAGAACATTCTGAATAAAAAGTTTGCTTGCAAGCTTTCTCCCAAATTCAATAGCCTGCATCATAACACAAACCAAAAGGAAAAGAGAAGAGTTAACAGCGATAACCTTAACTAGAAATCGATTTTGCATACATAGTAAATACAGCACACTTGATGAAACAATTTCGTCCATATGAGATAATCCAAATGTAGATTCACGAATCAAGACCAACAAATTTTAGAAAAGGATGCCCTGTAACCCCTTAGGACAATGTAAAGTACTCTAGCCCACTAAAAGGTGGAATTCCTATGACCACTCAAAAAGTTCAACTTGCTTTCCAAAATTTTAAAAAAGAAAAGAAAATGAAAATAGCAAACCTCTTCCCTTTCCAGATACTGATCCTCTGATAAGAAATCCACTGCTTCTGAACCTGAAAAACAGTTTGTGAACCTGCGCATTTTATGAAAACGATCCTTCACATCAACAAATTCTTTCATTTTCTGGGCAATTAAAGCTAGTTCATCAATAGCTCCACTACTGGACAGATCGTCTTCACCCGAAAGTGGCGGCAAAGGAGCTTCACATGACGGTGCTTCACTAATCAGATATTCAATCTTCTCATCAAGCTTTCCAGACTCATCCAAGCCCTTTAGCTCACTCAAGCCTCCAATAAGGATTTCATTGAAGAAAACCTTTGAAACAGCAGAAGACCCAGCAAATTTCTCTAACTCAAGCTTTCTGCTGGGATATACATCAATATTGATCTCTATATATCTGAGCTTCTTCCTATACAAAAATAACCTAGCCTCTTTGCAGTCCTGGCATCCTAATCTTGTGAACAGAATAATTCTTCCTTTTATGGCTATAGCTTGTGCTGGTCCTTCAGTGACTTCCTCCCTCTGCGCAGCTTTGTTTTCTGCATCACCATCTTCATCTCTTTTGCCAGAAAGGCGACGCAGAAATGTGGAGACTGCAACTACACCTTTAACCTTAACAAGGTTTTTAAGCGCCACTGCCTTTTCAACTACCCCCTGGTTCTCTGAATCAAGATCTAAAGAACGAGTGGACATACTTCTGTTAGCTGCCATCCCAGGAATCTCTGTTCCATCAAACACCGGCTCTTGCTCTTCCTCCTCACCAAGAATTTCATCTGTGGTTTGATTTGTCTCCTCCTGAGTTTTGGACTCCGAACCCTTACTTTCATCTGCCTTCCTACCCAAGTTATTCTGTAAACCATCATTGTGCGTTTTTGCTTCTTGTTTTTCAGACTCCACCTTATGATCAGAGTCTAATTCTTTTTCTTGAATTTTTGATTCCAAATCCCTACTCTCATCGATCTTCTCACCTATGTCCCTCTGACTTGGATTATTGCCTAATTTTTTTCCCCCATCTTTAGACTTCACATCCCCGCTCCTGGCCATCTTATCAACTAGTACATCTTCTCCACCATCCTCGTCTAACTTGGGACCACCAGTGCTGATGCTCATAGTTGTCGTCTCCTTTGATGCTTCACCCAGATCTTTACAAAGAGCAAGTGTATCTTTGTCCAAATCTTGAGAATTTCCAGAACTTGTGATATCTTCCTTAGCTGAAGCCTCCTTCTCCATGAGGCTGGGAAGAATGAAGTTCAAGCACTAACTCATTACAACACAGCCCTTAAAATTTTAAACTTTAAACATTCAATGAATTTAAGCAGGATCCTGCAATACTTTTAGACAAAACTTAATCCCTATGCAAAGATGTTGAATGTTGATTGATAATAATAAACTAATAATAAGTCATCGTCAAAGAGAATATATTTGCAAACAACTAGTTTAACCCTTGACCTTCATTAATAGCAAACTGGTGAACGTAGTTGCTTATTAAACGACAAAAGGAACTATTTGGCTCAATAAGTAAGAGAATAAGCATTCAGGTTAAATGTTCCTTCTCTACGTAACGTACAAATCAGAAGTGAAAATCGTTATCTATGCTGATCATATTGGTAAATATTTCTTTGTACATTAAAGAATTACTGCTTTCTGTTGCTAACAGAGACGCACACTGAAACATCAATCCTAATCCACCATGATAATAAAACAAAACTACCGTGTTAATATGCAAACCTAAACAAACAAAGAGATACACATTATTTGACCTACTTTTACCACAACTAAATTCAACAGCGTAAACAAGAATCCGAGATTGAGAAAAAAAGTCCAAAAGCAAGAACCCATTTGACTAGTTACAACTTACAGGCTCAGCAGATAGTCAGCTTGTTAGTTTAGGAGAAGATTATTACCCAACAAACAGGTAGAATCAAAGTATGAGTATATTCAGTTGAAATAATACAAAATTTGCAGCCCCAGGATAAAGTATCAAATTCAACGTTCACCAATAAAATAGCACTAAGCAAATGTGAATTGTCAACTATCTCGACCAAATGAATAAACTTTCATCCTAATTTTATCAATTTCTCGGTAATAAAAAAAATACAGGAAAAAGGATATAATCAGCAGCCAAATCAACAATTAACAAAAAAATTACAGAAATCAACTCAAAATTAGTGTAAAAAATGAGAGAGAAATCTCACAGATCTGAAAGGGACTGAGAGAGCCCGATTGGTTGGATTCGTTGGGTTGGAGACGAACCACTCCGAGAGAGAGAGAGGAGAGAGATGGAGAGAGATCTCAAAGGAGTTAGAGAGATGGGTAATAAATGTTGGGGGAAGTTACAGTCTTTATTTGGGGGTTTAGGGGGAGAAGCAGAATGAAATGAAACCGCGGTTAGAAAGGAGCGGAGGAGGGAGCGGGAAGTCCGTGGGCTGAAAACATGAATTTTTGACGGTCCGGGTTTTGGACTTTGAATATTCTCGTGGACTCATTTGGGTAATGAAATTCTTAATTCCAAATTAAATTCATACCACATATGCAAAATTCATTACTTCCTCTCTTTTTTTTTTTTCCATGGAAAACTAATGAAAAATGTTTGAAAATTCTGAGTTTTAACAATAAAGACAAAATAAAGAATCATGATTGACCTTTTAGTGTAAAATATGGTTTTTCATTAAAGAGAACAGTACTGGAACTTTTCGTTAAAGTTTCATTTTTTCGTCGAAATAATCTATTTTCTTAATTTGTTGGCTAAATTATTTTTTTTTCCTTTCTTTCTCGGTCTATTTCTATTCAGGTCTTTAAAATTTTTATTTTCATACCTGATCATTAGAAAAAAAAAGTAGATATATCAATGTTATCACATATTGCCACTTCGTACTACCATCTAGTGTGATCACATATCGCCACTTATTGCATTATTACGAGCCCATTGTGAAGCGTAGCCTACCCCATCCCCCTATCAATAATATCGTTTGTTCAAAAAATAAAAAGTTATCACATACCAAATTAAGTTACCCATTGGGTAAATTAATTTTTTTCTTTTTTTTCTCGGTCTATTTCCATGCACATAACTAAACCGTTTATATAAAGACACGCAAAGGAATTAAATGGTAATTTTAAAATTGAAGAACCACGAGGAAAGGTCTTTGTAAAGAAATAAAATGGGGACTTGGACGGGTTAGTGGGTGGGTAAGAGGTCTTAGTTTGAATCTCGTGGATGGCGAATTATCCATTGTGTGGCTTTACCGAACTCTCCCTCCCCTTAGTGTAAAAATATCGATGTACTAAAAAAATTGAGGGAGGGGAGAAGTATGTGCTGACGCAATCTTGCTGTCCTAAGGTCCTTATTTTGAGGACCTGTGAGGACCAAATGCATATTAGCCATATAATTATAATAGATTAGATCCAAAGATTTAAAATATTTGACAAGGTTGCAGTCATATTTAGAATAGGAATGTGATTGTGTAAATCCTAGTAAATCTAGGAATATCTCTTATATTCCTATTAGGAGTTGATTACCTATTAAGAGTTGTAATCCTAAAAGGATAAGGTTTTTGCCTATCCTACTACTATAAATAAAGGCACAATTGGGATGATACAACACACACCTCACAATTAAATCACTATCTCTTCTCTCTTAATACCGTCGGACCCCTCTCTCTCTATTTCCTTAGATTAGTTCAATCAAATAGGCCTACAACACGTTATCAGCACGTTCTTGCCAGAAGCTGAGGAACTAAAAGATTGTAAGAGGAGACTATCTTCCACAAAATTCAAAGGCTCTTATTTGTTTTCTGCTAATTAGGTACGTTTAAAATAAAGGAAGATAGTTAAAATGTCCATGAAGCATAAAAATATTCCCCATGATGCATGAACTCCTCTATGTTTATATTTTCCTTACAATACATATATTATACATGTTTCATATATTTGTCAATACATACATACATACATACATATATATATATATATATATATGTTTCATGCATTACGTAATTAAATTGCTATGTGGAATTGTGAGTCAAAGCATATAAATAAATTAGAAGCATATTAGGGTTTTTCAAACCCTAGAAAATTTTGAACAAAAAAAATAAGGAATTTAAGATTTTGCGGCATCACCGTCGTGGCACCACCACAAGGACCACCATGCTGGCCTGAAGCCCAGCCGCATGGAAACCCTCCTTGAGATGACGTCGTTTGATGTCTCGGACCTTTACCGAAGCCTTTAGGCTTCGCTGCAACCTGTGGACAACCAGGCCATGTGCCTAGTTTAGTTTCTTACCATAGACCTGCAGCCCCGACCCACACCAATGCATGCTGGACTGGTCCTTCCATCTCGACCCACGCTAGCAGCTTGCTGCTGGGCTTAGCCCTTGCCATAGCTCACGACTTAGTCAGCCAATCCACGGGGTTAGGCTTAGTCCCTACGGCCCAAACTTGAAACCTAACTGCGACTAGGGTTTCTCTCGCACCTGCAAGCCTTTAGGCCTACTTCCAGGCGATGGTCTCAGCCCAATCACACCAGCAGCTTGCTACTGGGCTCCTGTATTTCGACCTGTGGCCTGCAGCGACATATAGGCTGCTTTTGTAGCCATACCCAAGCCCATATGCCTATAGGGCTTTACCCTACTCACAGCACCCAACCCAAATTGTTTTTGGGCTATGGTTTTTTCAATCTAATGCTATTATTTTGGCATTATTTTGCTTCCACAATCAACCCTGTTTGGTCCCGATCTATTGAATTAATTAAAAGTGACATGCAATCCACTAATCTGATAATTAATCCAAAATTATTGACCTGAATATCACTTTTGGACATTATCGATTCAATAATTTATTTTTATACTTTGAACCGTTGACATACTTTCGTAGTAACGAAGCTCTCACACTTGAGTTCTCGAAGAAACTCAAATCTACTACACTTAAATCAGCATATTGAAGTCTGTATTTCTTGCAAGAACCTCTTATTTATGAACTAGTCATTCATAAAAACTAAATTGAACCTATAGTTTCATATTCAGTGCCTTTGAAACCCAAAGTTTTCATAAATTAAACCAATACATTTCTATAGAACCCGAATGTTTTACAATATATGTCTATGGACCACCATATGACTAATCACGTTTTTTGTACCCTCCGTTTTAGGGACATGTCGAACTTGAACAAACTTGATTTGACCGCTCTGGAAGTCTCTGAAGGAAACTACCTGAAGTGGGTTCAAGACTGTGAAGCTCCATCTTACTGTAAAGGGCATTAAAGCCACCATCGAGGCATTAAACCAACGACAAACCTGTCACTGAGGAGGACCCACGCAACCTTTCACTTGCTTTGGCTAACCGTTTTGATCACTAGAAAGACATATACTTGCCTGAAGCAAGACACGACTAGCATCATCTTCGCTTCCAAGACTTTAAAGTCAGTGAATGAATACAACTCTGAAGTTTGTAGAATTCGATCACTGTTGAAGTTCTGTAAAGTGGAACTAACCGAATCAGATCTCTTGGAAAAGACCTATTTGACCTTCCACACCACCAATATTGTCATGTAGCAACAATATAAGGCATAGAAGTTCACCAAATTTTCGGATTTGATCTCTGTTTGACTTCTCGCTAAAAACCAGAACCAACTTTTGATGAAGAATCATCAAGCTCGACTGATTGACTCAAACGCCACGCTTGAAGCGCATGCGACCAATTCTAGCAACCACAAATGACGAAAAAACCGTCGTGGTCGTGGTAATGGGCGGCAAGCCCAACCACGGGCCCAAGGTCAATAGAACGCCGGCCCCAAGGGAGGATATATGACCCAGCAATGCCCACCCCCTTGCCTCTAAGGCCCCGAACTTCAAAAAGAAGGGTAAAGCTCTCGCTCAATCGGCTTCCATTGAAATGGATATGTGATATTGTTGTGGATCAAAGGATAATTGGTCACACATATGCCAAGCTAACCCCGAGGCTATTGTCAAGTATCATTCCCATCGTGAGTCTAACTTTGCACATGTGGATCATCCGAAAGATGCTACTACATCAATGGAAATATTGGATTTTCAAGAGGTGTCAGCGTCTATGGACGAATAAATTAGACATTTTTATAGGGTGCCTACCCCTAGTGGCCGAACCCACTAAGAGTGGCTAGCCCATCTTCCCTATTTTTCTAGGTTTATGGTTTAATTTCAATTTTTCTAAATCTTGGGAATAATTTGTTTTGAATTATGGATTGTTATTTGATGGATATTATTGCTCAAATTGCTTAATTGAATGAATGGAATTATATTTGTGCATGTGACCAATTCAATCAATTTATTTCTAGGTATATGTCTAGTGGAGAAGTTAGTTGTCTGGCTGATAGTGACATTATCTTACTAACTTTGTACCTAAGAAAGCACCTCTGACAACTCTCTTAGGCCCATCCAACCTGATTGAAGGATACGGAAATGCTCATATCATGTTGTCCAATGGTACAGTCTTAACCATTAAAGAGACACTCTATTCTCCATGTTCCGGAAGAACGTTGCTGAGTTTTAGAGATATTCGAGATAATCAATATCATGTTGAAACCACTGAAGATAATGGTTCTGAATTTCTTTGTATCACTTCGTATGAATATGGCCAGAAGCATATTCACAAGAAGTTGGAACGTCTCCCGAGTGGGTTGTACATCACAACCATTCGCGACATAGAAGCCCATTATGTGGTCGGCCCTATGCCTGAGTTCCAGAGCACTTTGATGCTTTGGCATAACCATTTGGGACATCCTAGACATGACATGATGCGCCGTATCCTCAAATCATCTTATGGGCATTAATTACCTCCCTACATTGGATTCCCACCATGCAAAGCATGTTCTTTAAGGAAATTAAATACTCAACATTCAATTACAAAGATTATTCACAACCCCCCTAAGTTTCTTCAGAGGATTCAAAGGGATATTTGTGGACCTATCCAACCAACCTGCGGACCACTTAAATACTTTATGGTGTTGGTTGATGCATTGACACGATGGTCACATGTTTGCCAGTTGTCCACACGCAACGCTGCATTTGCTAAACTCCTAGCACAAATTATTAAGTTAAGAGCTCACCACCCTGATTATCTGATTAAGTTGATTTGACTGGATAATGCATGAGAGTTTACGTCACATACTTTTGACAATTATTGCATGTCAGTATGGATTGATGTGGAACATCCTATACCTTATGTTCACACCCAAAACGGCATGGCAAAAACTTTCATAAAGCGCCTTCAATTGATGGCTCGGACTTTGGTTATGTGAACCAAACTGCCGGTATCTACCTGGGGCTATGCAATATTGCACATAGCTATATTGGTCCGCATGAGGCCCACCGTTACCCAACCACATTCACCGTTACAATTGGCCATTGGATACGAGCTTGATGTCTCGTATTGACGGGTGTTTGGGTGAGCCATTTATGTACCAATAGCGACGCTACTACGTACCAAAATAGGTCTTTAGAGAAAAATAGGAATCTATATCGGTTATGATTCACCATCAATTTTTCACTATTTAGAACCCTTGATAGGAGATCTCTTTACCACACGTTTTGCGGATTGTCACTTTGATGAGACAATCTTCTCATCGTTAGGGGGAGATAAGCATGCTAACGTTCCTGAAGAACCTCACGAATTGTCGTGGTATGCTCCCACTATGTCTCATTTAGATCCTCGCACTGCCCAGTCTAAAACTAAGGTGTGACGAATTATAGATCTTCACAACATTGCTCAGAGTATGCTAGATGTTTTAAATGATCTAGCTAAGGTTACAAGATCACATATACCTGCTCCAAACGCACCTGTAAGGATAGATTTACCTCGCATACGTCACCAGCCGGCTTGGGAAGGCCGGACTGCCCCTAAAGATGGGGAGGCCACACCTTCCGCGTGGCCTAGTCCCACCAACTAGTGACCCTAGTTTGAATCCGACCATCGCTCACTCATCCATTCCAACGCATGAGGTTATTCTAGATTACAATGATAGTCTTAGACGAGACAACCTGGCTCTCCCGAGAATCGTGAGATTTTTGTCCACTACGCAGTATTGGATGAGGTTTGGAATCGGAATAAGATGATCGTCGACGATGCATTTACGTACACAATAGTTACTGACATCATGCTTAGCGATGAAATTTAACCACGTTCCGTTGATGAATGCCAATGTAGAACAGATTGGTCAAACTAGAAACAAGCAATCCAAGTTGAACTCGATTCGCTTGCAAAACATAAAGTGTTTGGACCTATTGTTCCTACACTACCAAGTGTGAAGCCCGTTGGCTACAAGTGGGCTTTTGTGAGGAAGCGTAATGAGAAGAATGAAATAGTGCAATACAAAGCACGCTTCATAGCGCAATGCTTCTCTTAGCGCCCTGAGATTGATTACAAGGAGACGTATTCCCCCATAATGAACGTTATAACGTTCTGCTACGTTGTCAGTAGTTTCTAAAAAACTGAATATGCAGCTTATGGACGTGATAACTGCATATCTCTATGGGGATCTAGATACAGAAATATACATGAAAGTTCCATAAGGACTTCCATTGACTAGTTCAAATAGTTCTAAACCACAGAACACTCTTTTAATTATGTTGAGGAGGTCACTCTACGGATTGAAACAATTCGGGCAGATGTGGTATAACCGTCTAAGTGAATATTTGACAAGTCAGGGTTATGTGAACAACGAATTATGCCCATGCTTGTTCATAAAGAAGTCACATTCTGGATTTGCAATCGTTGCAGTTTATGTCGATGACAAGAACCTTATCGGAACTCCCGCAGAGCTTGAGGAAATTGCTATGCACTTGAAATCGGAATTTGAGATGAAAGATCTTGGAAAAACTCAATACTGCCTTGGCCTAGAGATCGAGCATTGTTCGGATGGAATCTGAGATGAAAGATCATGCTCCATTGAGTTCACTACTTTTGTCATGTTTGACGTTTGTTTGACGTTTGTTTTAGACATTATGCATACTTCTCACTTTTCTCCTTAGTCTATGGGTTTTCCCCATGCCTTGGGTTTTACCATAGCGAGGTTTTGTGAGTTTTACTACCAATGCATACTTTCTTTATATTTGAGACTCGCATTCACCCGTTGTGCTGATGACTTTATCAATTATTCTACCTTCTCTGCTGAAGATCTGATGCGATGGTTTGTTGAGTATTTACACACTTAAGGGGGAGTGTTGCAATCATATTTAGAATAGGAATGTGATTGTGTAAATCCTAGTACATCTAGGAATATCTCTTATATTCCTATTAGGAGTTGATTACCTATTAAGAGTTGTAATCCTAAAAGGGTAAGGTTTTTGCCTATCCTACTACTATAAATAAAGGCACAATGGGGGTGATACAACACACACCTCACAATTAAATCACTCTCTCTTCTCTCATAATACTGCCGGCCCCCTCTTTCTAATACCTTAGATTAGTTCAATCAAATAGGTTTACAACAAACAACTTAATAAAGCAAAATCAACTTAAAATTCATGAACTATTAGAAAATCCATTTTCTTGTTTTACTTTATTAACTTGTCAAATATTTTAAGCCTTTAGATTGAAACTAATACGATCTTGTCACTAATGTACATTAAGTTCTTACAAGTCCTCAAAATGAGGACCTTAGGAGAGCAGGACTTTGTGCTGATGGGGACGGGGATTCAACAAAATTTCTAAACACCGATGGAGGAGGGGACGGAGGGCGGGGGCGAGGATGGTAATGTGACCCCCGGTCCTGACGCATGGCATAGAATAGCAAGGCGCAGCAGAAACTTTAGTAACATATACGTGGAAACCAAAAATCTAAGAATTCTGAGAATGCAGGACCAAATTCAGAAGATCTTACAGCACAAAGTACATGGCTAATTAAACGGAATGTATATTTACATAAGCTACGTTCAGTTTTGCTACATTCTACATGCTAATTCCTCCCGTAATGCAGTAACATTCTTTGACTCTGAACAAAACGCGAGGACCGATACATAACTTGATTGGAAGTTACAATGCTGAATTATCCCTTCCTTTATATTAACGAGTATAAGTGATCTCAAAGAGGAGGCCGTGGCAATTCAATCTTGACATTGGCTTCCTCTTCCTCCCGTCAATTCAGTTTTATATATCTGATCCGGGCAGGGCATCTTAGACACAATTCAAGCTTAACCTGAAGTTCTTATCAGGCGACAGGATCAACTAGACCGTAGGCTACACTCCAAAGAAGGATCTATCTCCCATCCAAGATCTCCACATGCAGTAAGAACAGTGGAAAGGATGTAATCATCCACCTCAAAACCTTCTGCTCGCATACGGTACATGAGCTTCATAGCCTCTTGGCAGAGACCATTTGTTGCATAACCCACTATCATAGCCTTCCAAGAAACCAAATTACGTTCTGGCATGCTGTCAAAAACTTCAAATGCCTCTGTTACGTACCCACATTTTGCATACATATAAATCAGAGCGCTACCTACAAACACATTAGACATGGCAGGACTTTTGTTTGCAGAGGAGTGAATCAATTTCCCATGCAGAACAGTTTCCAGCTTAGCACATGCTTTCAAAGCGGATGAATAAGTAAACGCGTTGGGCTCCACCCCGTCCTCCATCATTTCTTTCAAGAATTCCAGAGCTTCAGCCTCATGACCAAGTTGTGTACAACCAGAAATGATTGCAGTCCATGAGACAACATCTCGTAAAGGCATTTGTTGGAGGACCCTTGTGGCATTGGAGTACTCTCCACACCTACAGTAGAACCACACTAGAGTACTTCCTAGGTGTAAATTGGTTTTGAGTCTTTCGACCGAGTTCTTGACTATCTGTGCATGAACTTCTCTCCCCATCACCGAATTCCTCATCCCACCACAAGCTCTGAGGATGCTTACAATGGTCAAGTTGTTGACCAATATGTTCCGCCTCTTCATTACTTGAAAGAGATATATGGCCTCCTCACTGAGGCCCTTCCGCGCATACCCCGCTATAATAGATGTCCATGTAACTGTGTTTCGGTTTCTCATTCCATCAAATACGTTTCTCGAGTGTACCATCTCCCCACATTTTGCATACATATCAACTAGAGAAGTGTCTATGAAAATATCATTCTTGTAAATCTTCTTAACTATGGCACCATGCAACTGTCTCCCAAATCCTAATTCCTTCTCTTCCCCACAAGCCTTGAGAACACCACACACTGTAAACTCATTCGGAGAAAACCCATCACTCAACATCTGCGAGAACAGCGAAAAAGCCTCCTGTCCATGCCCTTGTTGCGAACATGCAGTGATCATAGTTGTCCAGCAAACAACATCCCACTTCGGCATCTGATCAAATGCGCAGAAAGCACTCACTAGCTCTCCGCACTGCGCATATAATTTAACAACGGCGCTGTCAACAATCAAGTTGCTCCAACCCCCTTTCAAAACACCACCATGAATTTGCTTCCCAAGCTCATAATCCCCTCTCTCACTACATAAATTTAACAAGCACACGAACATCTTACCATTCGGCACAACCCCATCATTGATAGCTTCCCCAAACAACCCCAAAGCCTCATCGTCAAAACCAAAGTTCAAGTACCCATTAATAATGGCAGTCCAAGAAACCACATTTCTCACAGTCATTTCATCAAACACCTTCCGGGCGTCCCCCAACTTCCCAAAAACCAAATACGCACACATCAAATTGTTGAAAACATACGTAACCGGGTTCGCCAAACACCTCAAAACAATCGCATGCAATCTCCTCACTTCTTTCAGACCGCGACATGACCGAAGCCAAAGAGCAAGCAAGTAGGGCCGTAAGCTTTGGCTCAGCGATTGAGTACCCGAAAATTCAGCCTCTGGGTTTTCGTGGGAGTTCGAATTCTGAAAATCTGACGCAGAAGATGAAGTTTCACAAGAAAAACAGCGAAAATTTGATGAGGTTTTGAGATAATTAGGCTTTGAATTCGAATGCTTTGTGTGTTTTGGCGGTCGAATGGAGAGCAGAGAAGGTGTTTGATAAAGGCTGATACCAATACGTGGCGGCAAGAAAGTCGGCGAAAGCATTGCCTGTTTTGCAGGTTTGAAAAATCCCGCGAAGCAAAGGAGAAGTCAGACACAGAATCTGGGTCTGAGAGAGCTGGGCTCCGCTTCGCATTAAAAAACCAGTGTAGGTGGTGTAGCCGCCAGCTTTCAAAATATTCCCCTAATTTTTTCTTAACTTTTTGTTTACCCAAAATAACTTTGCACATGGATCTTCGGGGAAAAATAATTATGTTTATACTTTTAGATGCAGGTTCGATTTCTACCAATTCTCATCTCTTGATGATAAATTATTTAACCGACCAATGATATTTCTTGTTTTTTTTTTGAAGAAGAAGAAAATTAATTTAAAGAGAAGCCTTGATAACACTCAAAGCCTCAAAAATCAAACAAAAAAGTGTTTTTTGCTTGGGCAAGTACACACTCATCCCAAACATATAAATGAGTACAATTGTGCTCAAAGGTGGTAATAATATCTGCTGTGAGGTTTGCTTCCCTAAAGACATAATTTCATTTCACCGAGTCAAAAATGAAGCAAGCCACTTAATGTCTTCAATGATGGTTCTCCCACCAACGCTATTGTTTTAGAAAAAAATAAAAAATAAAAAATAAAATTATGACAGAAAAATATGTTTTTAATTTATTTTTTTTTTGGGGTGAAAGAAGGTTTGGGAGAAAAATTTGGATCTAGTAAAGGGTTTTAATATTGAGAAGAGAAACATTGTTTAGTTTGTTAGCGAAATAGTTATTTATTTAGTTTGTATCAATTATTGTTTCAAAAATTTCAAGTTGCTTATCATTGATCTGGACAAGGGGATATGGAAGCCCCCTTGGTGCCTTGTAAGATCCCACATCACTCAGGGGAGTGATCCTTATATGTATATTCTCATCCCTACCTAGCACAAGGCCTTTTGGTAGCTCACTGGCTTCGGGTTCCATCGGAACTCCGAACTTAAGAGAGTAGCGCGCGAGAGCAATCCCATGATGGGTGACCCACTGGGAAGTTCTTGTGTGATTTCCCAAAAATAAAACCGTGAGGGCGTGGTCTGTGCCCAAAGCGAATAATATCGTGCTACGGTGGTGGAGCAAGCCCGGGATGTGGTGGACCTCCGGCGGGGATGTGACAATTTGGTATCAGAGCCTAACCCTGGCCGTGGTGTGCCGACGAGGACGTCGGGCCCCTAAGAGCAATTCCACCCCTAAAGACTTTGTGCCAGCACCCAACTCATTTATCCACCCAAGTAAACAGTAATAGACCCCAGTAAATAGTAATAGACCAAAGCATCTCCAACCCTAACAAAAAATAGTCTAGTCAATTTTATTAAAATTTTATTAATTTTTATTATAAAATAATAAAAATAATAATTTTATTTTTAATTTCTGACTTTAATCTCTTTAAGCACTTTGCAGCTTTTTCTTTCCCAACCTCACTCCCACACTCCAAAACCCGAATCAACAGCATGATAATCCCGGCTCCGATCAGAACAACCTTGTACGAACGAAACCCAGAAATAACAGAAACAATCTTTGCAGACAACCTCATGTCGTCTCTGCAAGCTCTGTTGCCAGGCCTCGAAACGACGATCGCGAACCGTTGTGTCAAAACACCGGTGTTGTAAACCTCCAATAGGTTTCTTGCGTGAATATCGAGTCTTGCGGAAAGCATGTCCAAGTCGCTCTACATCAGGAGCTTCCTGCTGTACCAAAGATCGACGCAGCGACGACCTCCTCTCCCTCCTTTTTCCCTCCGTGGCTCCTTGCCCTCAGACGCCACGCTGGAGTCAATAAGGCATCACTTGGGTCGATCCCAAGGTCTGTCAATTTCGAGCTGGCCTGGAGACCAGCTTGGGCTGAGTGCCAGCCTTGTTTTTTGGCTAAGTGTCGACCTAACAACCCCGGGTGGAACTGCTCTAAGCGGGGTGGATTGTAAGATCCCACATCACCCAGGGGAGTGATCCTTATATGTATATTCACATCCCTACCTAGCACGAGGCCTTTTGGGAGCTCATTGGCTTTGGGTTCCATCAGAACTCCGAAGTTAAGCGAGTAGCACATGAGAGCAATCCCATGATGGGTGACCCATTGGGAAGTTCTTGTGTGAGTTCCCAGAAACAAAACCGTGAGGGCATGGTCGAGGCCCAAATCGGACAATATGGTGGAGCGGGCTCGGGATGTGGTGGACCCCAGGCCAGGATGTGACATGCCTCATCTCAATTATTGAAGACATTAAATGGTTGGCTTATAGGTTTCTCAACATTCAATGGTGGTATATTTTTAAAGAAGTCAATTTTGTAGCTGATAAGCTTGCTAATGATGGGATATCGGTGTCTAACCCCCACTTTTAGGATTATTGCTTCCCTGCTTCGGCATTAAATGCTTTGAACCTTGGTTGTATTGGAGCAGGTTGTTTTAGAGATTTTTTTTCTTTAATAAAGTTATTTTCCATAATAAAAAGGGGCATTAATATTTGCATATGAGGTTTACTATTCCATTTCTTTATCCCACAATGTACTTTTGTCTTAAAATAAATTTGGTCTTCATCTCATTTTTAATTAATTTGATCACAAGTTCTTTTTAACTTTCGATGAATACAATCACTAGAAAAGGGCACTTCAAATTGAGAAATATACTCTTGCCAGATGTTTGTTTTGTTGTTAGGCTCAAAATTTCATCTTTTTGTAATTCTATTAAAGTCATTGTATTTTAGTAAAAGAGATTATAAAAGCAAACTGGAAAATAAAAGCTAAAAAAACAAACGAAAGTAATAAATGGTGAATTGCCGGAGATTATAATCTTTCTCTTTAACTTACTACATCTCGATTGAAACCATCTCTCCTCTCCTTGTGTCGAATATCACTTGCACTAAAAAATAAATGAAGGTAAAAGAATGATTTCTTCTTTAATTTTGTCCAAAAATTGTTTTTTAGCCGAATTTCCAACAATTTGAAAGTTATCAAAGAGACCTTCTAAAAATAAATAAATAAATACTGTCACTAAACCCTGTTCATTGGCCTGAATAGGTGTCACTAAAACTCTGTTCATTGGCGCAAACTCCTCCATGGTTTCCACTGCCACCCTCCAACCCTCATGTTCTTTCCCACTTAGAGCCCCTAAAACCACCACCAGAGATCGCGTCTCTTCTCTCTCTTCCATCAAAACCTCGCCGAAATCTATCTCCCGATCTTCTAGCATTACCAAGGGTATGAACTTTATCCGTTGTTTTATTTGATAATTACGTGCTTGATTCTCCATTACTGGGATTTTCATGAATTGGGTATTGGTAGTGTGCAAGTAATTGTTGTTTTAATCCCCATTTGGGGTCCCAAATTCACAATTTGAGCTTTTGGTTTGAGGGTTTTTGTTGCTGGTTTGAAGGCACTCTGCAACAAAGAGCTACGTTGCTTTCGATTCTTTGTAAACTGGGTAATTTTAATTAGCACTAAGCATGCTAGTAATTGTGTTTTTGTGGTATCAATAATTTTGTGTGTGTCATTTGTCAAATTAGGAAGTGAGAAAACTAAATATGTATATATTGATGAAATTGCAGTTCCATCATAAAACTAATTGGCAATATGGGGAGTAGCCCAAGATCATACAAGCACATAGCAAACCTTGTCTCTCACCGATGTGGCGGATTTGCAAGCCTACACATGGACAACAACTGGGTGACGTGAAGCGCGTGTGGCCGTTAGGCTTCACACTTGGACAACCTGGCTCTGATACCATGATGAAATTGTGGTTCCACCATAAAACCAATTGGCAATATGGGGAGTAGCCCAATATTATATAAGCACATAGCAAACATTTTCCCTCATAGATATGGGACAACTCTCAACATATATAACGCGTTTCTGAAAGCCACTTAGTGTTACGGTCTAGTGGTATTCTTCTTCACTTGTGAGAGAGAGATCTTAGGTTCGATTCTCACCTAAGGCGAATTTGAACCACATTATTGCTAATCCATTATGAGGCTTAGCGCACTCCCCACCCCTTTAGTGTAGATAATATCATTTGTTCGAAAAGAAAAAAAAACTCGTGTTCGAAAAGCGTCAAAGAAACTGGGAAATATTATGTTGGTTTCTTAGGAGGTACTGTTGTTGTATCTATGTTGAGGGTGTTTGTTACTTTTTTGAAGTCAATTTTAACAGATATCTGTTATCTACTGCTAGGTTGTGACTTGGTAGTTAAAAAACCAGTCAGGTTACGGTGGTCCTACGTTATTGCTGCTACGGTTGGTGATACAACTGCAATGCAAAATAGTTGTTCTAGTGGGCAAGAGTTGCTCATTTCTGGTCTTCTAATCCCACGTCTGTTGAAGATCAGTCCAACAACGGAAATGGTGAGGAAGGGGAAAGGAAAGTTGGTGTTGGGGGTTTGGATGACCATAAAATGATTCAAGCATGCGATAAGCTTATTGAGGTTTTTTTGGTTGACAAGCCCACTCCAACTGACTGGAGAAGATTATTAGCTTTCAGCAAGGAATGGGACGATATCCGGCCTCATTTCTATAAGCGGTGTTAGGACCATGCAGATACGGAGGATATCTTGGAATGAAGCATGAGCTACTATGGCTTGGACAAAAATTGAAAAAGGTAGGTATTATGAATTGCTTAAGAGTGATACTATCGTACTTGTTACCTAAATGTCTTTTATTGAGATGTGTGTGAGTTAACCATGTCTTTCTGTTGACTCTAAAATTTACAAAACCTACGTGGCGCGCAGGCCGAGTAACTAATGAGCTAACTAACGTCATTCGGTCGAATGCGGGGCGTGCCAACTCGTCGGCCGAGGAGTAAAATTTGTTGTCGCGTTGGGTGCGCTGTCGACTTCTGTATCTTGCGATTGCGACCGAGGAAGAAACGCTCTCGGTCTCTGGGTTCTATAGCCTGAAGACAAGGCTACTAATTCTGCGGAGTTCACAAGTCGTCGAAGCCTGATTCGGTCACTGTGATTATATTCGTAAGAGTATAAGCACGCCGAATCGAGACCAAACTATATGGGCACAGATACTCGAATGTGATATATGTCTTGATGGTAAACGTAGTTCGGCCGTCGGAATGCCGAACCCTGAAACTTACTTGCGAGTATCCAATCATAAACTCACTCGGCGTCCAATGCGCCGAGCAATGCAATTCGTAACACCCAACTATGCCGGAAAGGCTTAGTAAGATGACCTTTACCAACAAGGGTTCGAAAACCCTTCTCGGCCGAGACTTAGATAGATAATCGGTCGACTTCGACGCAGTGCTGTTTATCCAAACTGAAGGTGCTCCTCGGTCGGCTG